TCTCCCCTCCAGGAGCTAGTTACGTAAAAAATCAGACAGGTCTTACTCAGGGCTAAGCATGGCTTCAGGTTACTTTCAGGCACAAATAAGAAACAGCATTCCACCTCCGGTGCTTAGCTCTTTCTCAATTACTTCAGGACTAATGAGCATTTGCCGATTTATTTCCCATGCTAATTTCACATTGCAAACAAAAGAACAATAAATTATTAAAGGAAATAAGTTATTAAAGGAAAAGGTTGTTTAAAGGGCATTTCATCATAGTACTCCCATTTTAATTTTCAGCTGGCATGATACTTCATAGTATTCGCAGAAAGATCCCCCCCCATTTACAACGTTCTTGCTTAATCTGGGTCACATCCCCAACTATACTCCCTGCTTACACATGAATTGGAGAGATGTCTACTCACCAAGGACTGCTGCTTATGATTTCATTAAGTGTTTTCACCCAACACGTGGCTGCAGCAGTATAACATACAGTCGTGCACGCTGCAGGGCTCAGCAGCTGAGTTTGGAGCAGGGCAGGAATTTTCAGAAAGCTCCTCTCATGGCACAGATAAGCAGCTGCTTCCCTTGAGGCATCACAGCTGGGTTCAGTAAAGAGCAGCATCTGGCTTTTCCCAGGAAAGCAAGCTCCCATTTCTAACTCTGTTCAAATCCAGCTCTCACAGGCTAGGTCCAGAAAATTCCCACACTCTTTTTTTCTTTTTTTTTTTTAAACAATGATGCTGATGGACTGTTTCTACTTAATTAAGACAGTGCGACCTGAGTATTGTTAGAAGCAGTAAGTATTTTATGGTGCAATAAATCGATAGATTGATTTGAAATCAATAAATCGATAGTTCAGATTTGAAATCTGAACTCATTACCAGAAGGTCTCCAGGTCATGCAAGGTTTTATTAACAGCATTTGCATCTTTTTTTTTTCCCTTCGCAGCATACTACATCGATAAAGTCAGGATTAAAGGCTACTACGCATTTAAGCTGACTGAAGAAAAATCTAAGCCCAGATTTGGATTCTTCACTTCGGATTCAAAAGGAAAGCCTTCGATAAAATTTTACAATAACCTGATAAGCAACAACGGCTTTCCTGCTGGCTATTCAGTCTGTGGTCCCCCCAGCCAAGAAAAGCAGTGTGGCTTCTGCTTGTTTATCTCTCAAAAGAAGCCGTTAATCTTCTTCGCCTGCTGCCTTTTCTCTACCCTTATGTTGCTTTTAACCATTATTGTTTTTCACAAAAGAAAAAGAAGGAAACGTTTTAAGGCAAAAAGCATCCAGCGCATCTGTGTTTCATTTTAGAAAGGGGGCACAAACCCACTTTCAGTGAGATCTGTGACTGTTTGCATTGTACAGAGGATGAGGCAGAGCAGACAACTGTAGAAAAGCAGTACGTGAGTCACTCCAGTCATACACACCAAGCGTTTTGTTGGAAACCAGAAAGTAATTGTATGCACAGGAAGAAGAGCCATGACGACATTTCTTTCTGGTGACATTTTCATTTATCCACTTTCTGTATGTAGAAGTAAAATTCATCTATTTAAAAAAAAAAAAAGAAGAAAATTTTGTGACTGTCCTGTGCCTTGGAATAACCTTTCAAACAGTTTGACTTGAAAAAGCGGTATTAAGCTGTGAGAACTGATACGCACTTTCCTATGAACCTCTTTGGACCAAAGCGTCTTGTGATGTATACTCATGTTATAAATGTTGTTGAGCATGAAACTGCAGTTGTTAGGGTTTACAAATAAAAGTGTTATTAAACCCTACAAACTTTCAGCTAAGTACAACACCAAGAATTAAATGTGCTGGGCCAGCTTCTGAAGATACCTCTACAAGAACAAATCCGGGTTAACTCCGTTACCGACCAACACGTATCTCATACTGGGTGAAGTAGAGATCAGATGTTAACATTTTAAGCAAATGCAAATGGATCCACAGGAGACAAGTCAAAATAATAGAACATCACTATTTTTCATCTGCAAAATGGAGCAGCCGTAAAAAAAATTTTATTAGCAGAGAGCTTCAAAATAAATAGTAACTATTAATCTACTCAAGAGAGAGATTAATATAATTCTAAATTGCACTTTTTCATAGAAATAAATATATATTATAATCTTAGCTCTGGTCAAGCCATAGGTGGGATAAAACGATGAGAGGAGTTTATTGCTATTGCTGCATTAAACAAAAACTACCAACCCAGGCATAACACTCTTAAAGGATAAATGAACCCACTAATCTCATTTCAACTTTTCAGGGGCCAAACCCAGAGGTTTCCCTTGGTCTAGTTTTGGTCACCTCAAAATGAGCCCAAGTTTTTCCCATGAACTGTACCATCATTTAAAATTCACATTGGCCAGCCTTTTCAGTCATTACATCAAACTGCACACTGAGATCATCACTGCCCGGGCAGAGACCACGCATCTCCAGAGACAGATAGAGAAGCTGCTCTATAAATGGAAAGAAGGGCAAAAAGAGGCATCAGTAAAATTCCTACTGCCTCCCTCCACTTTACAACCTTCTTTTCCAGTGGCTAGTACCATTCTGGACAGGCTGGATCGATGGGCCGAGGACAACTGTATGAGGTTTAACAAGGCCAAGCGCCAGGTCCTGCATTTGGGTCACAGCAACCCCACGCAACGCTACAGGCTTGGGGCAGAGCAGCTGGAAAGCTGCCTGGTGGAAAACAACCTGGGGGTGTTGGTTGACAGCCGGCTGAATATGAGCCAGCAGTGTGCCCAGGTGGCCAAGAAGGCCAACAGCATCCTGGCTTGTATCAGGAATAGTGTGGCCAGCAGGAGCAGGGAAGTGATCATCCCCCTATACTCAGTGCTGGTGAGACCACACCTTGAATACTGGGTTTTTTTGGGCCCCTCACTACAAGAAGGACATTGAGGTGCTGGAGATGTCCAGAGAAGGGCAACAAAGCTGATGAGGGGTCTGGAGCACAAGTCATACGAGGAGCAGCTGAGGGAACTGGGGTTGTTTAGCTTGGAGAAGAGGAGGCTGAGAGGAGACCTTATCACTCTCTACAACTGCCTGACAGGAGATTGTTGTGAGGTGGGTGTTGGTCTCTTCTCCCAAGCAACTAGCAATAGGAGGATAAGAGGAAATGGCCTCAGGTTGCATCAGGGGAGGTTTCAATTGGATATTATGAAAAATTTCCTTACTAAAAGAGTCATCAAGCATTGGAACAGGCTGCCTAGAGAGGTGGTGGAGTCACCATCCCTGGAGGAGTTAAAAAAAAAGTGTAGACGTGGCACTTCAGGACAGGGTTTAGTAGGCATGGTGGTGTTGGGTTGACAGTTGGACTTGATGATCTTGGAGGTCTTTTCCAACCTTAATGATTCTATGATTTTTCAAGGCACAGTGAAACCCCCAACCGTTCCCATCAGAAGCTAGTTACCTCAGTCTTATCTGTACCCCAGTGCTTCTGAAGAATGAGGCATATAAACACGCTGTCTTTTCCAACTGCATTTGAACACACAAGATAGCATCAAACAGAAGGTAAATGATAATGTATTGTGAGAAAGTAAACAATAACTTAAATGATAAAGTATCATGGCCACCTACACACTACTAGAGACTTTGTGGAAGTGCTACTTTAAGGATACGTGCAACCAACTGAAGCCCAAACTCCCAATACTTGACCCAACCTTACGTCTCAGTTCATAAATGGATGAAGCTATTTCTCCACTACATTTCAAGCATTGGGCAACATCACAGAAGGTTCATTAATTCAAAAGGCCCATTTTACACTGTAAGATGTTCTACCAGCGCAACAAACAGCACGGGTGTTGGAAGTGCATGCATGCATCCATCACCCAGCGACTGACAGCAACTGAGGAATTAAACTGAAGCGTACTACAGGGAAACTCCTCGTGAATTCCATGTGCGTTGTGGGAGCACAGAGAATTTTGGAGGACTCTTCAGCTGCTCGCTTCAAACAGCACAAGAATCCATTTAAAAAATGTTAAGCAGGCCATGTACAAAGTGCACGTCCGCAGTTCAGCACCGCCACTTTTCCAGGCTGAGAGAGACTGGTACCACGCACCTGCTGCACTCGCCGGAACCCG